CATTTCCTGGCAGCATGATCCCAGAAGAAGATACAGGGACTTCCCTGGTGGTTCAGTGGTTAAGACTCCATACTTCTACTGCAGGGGGCATGGCTTCAATCCCTGGTCAGGGAAGATCCTGCATGCCATGCAGCACCGCCCCCCCCAAAAAAAGACTCTACCAGAAGAAGATACAAATCCATGGGCCTAGATCTGGCTTCAGCAGTGAGCTTGCTACCCGGATAAGCTCCAAGAAAGGAGGGGTAAAAGGCTGGAGAAGCCCAGCTAGCTTCATCTTGGGGTTTCCCTGCTTAGTAGCTTTCCTCACCAGGACCATACAGCATTCTCCACAGGCCACTTCTCCTTCTGAGTCCCCGGGCTGGAGATTCCCCTGAATAGACACATCCCAAGCCTGAGCTGCTCAGGCCTCTGTCATTATGTAATCCAGGGAGACTTCAGACAGCTGGAGCCTGATGTTTTGAGGGATGGCCGGGAGCTTTGCCCCTGCTGGTCCTGGCAGCCTTTTAAGTATAAAAGTTATTTTATATGTTTCCAAAAGTTTTCTTTCAAAATATGCAAAATTACCTAATAACTTTAAAAGATTAAAATACAAATTATAATTAATAAATGCCAACATTTCATTAGGTATATTAATATTTTAATTAAATCTTATTTAATTTTATAAAGATAAAATCATTCAAAATTTAAACATTTTATGTTCATCAGGTTGCCAATATAAAGAATTGCTGCCATGATACATGAATGCAAATTTAAAAGTAATATGAAATGTTAAAATCATAAAATGCTCATAAGCCACCATTTGCAACTTTTGTGAAATATTGTGCTAATTGAATTAAATACCATGGGAAACAGGTATTAGAACAAGAGAAGAAAGAAAAAAGATTCTTGACATTATTGAGAAATGATACTTTGTTATGAAAGAATCTCTTGCATTCATGTTATCTTAAAGGAGGAATTTGACATGTTTGACTTTTCTCTTAACCCAATGCTTTTTTCCCTCACATCGTCCATGCATTCCAAAGCCATGTCATCATCATAACGCACGATCTTTCACAGCTTTCAAATCCTGTCAACTTTTCTTTTGAGGATATAGGGCAAGAGATGTGGAAATGCATTTCCCTAGGGCCTGAACAGTGTGGTCATGAAGGTGGGTGTTAAGAGCTATGAGCTGTGCTGTGCCAGCTCTGAGCAGCAGATCCTGAGTGATAGAGGCACCCATGTTTTTGTTTTTTTAATTTTTATTGGAGTATAGCTGATTTACAATGTTGTGTTAGTTTCAGGTGTACAGCAAAGTGAATCAGTTATACATATACATATATCCACTCTTTTTTCAGAATCTTTTCCCATGTAGGCCATTATAGAGTCTTGAGTAGAGTTCCCTGTGCTATACAGTTGGTTCTTATTAGTCATCTACTTTACCCATGTGTTTTTAATAAATTGATCTGTGTGTGATTGTGGTATGTGGACGACTCTAAAATACCCCTTACTTAGGTCTAAAGGAGGTTCTGTATGTATCAGCCATAATCAGATTCGCCCAGGAGAACCTACTGCTAACATTTTGGAGTATTTCCTTCCAGCTATTTTCTATCCCTGTTTTCACATAAGAGAATATGCCTTATATGCAGTCTTATATCCTGCTTTGTTGATAAAACAAAAGTTACCAGTCTAACTTCTGCGTTCTTTAAATACTACAAAGGCACATATTGCCCAGTCATGGAAGTTCACACCCTCGGAGTTGGAGGAAGGATCATCCTGTTCTCAGTATGGTGAGTACAGCAGAAATAAGACCCCATTTGAAGAAATTAAATAAATAAAAATTCAGAAATATGTCCGAAGCACGGTGTTAGATGAAGCAGAGGGCATTCAAAGAAGTATAAGACAGAGTTTCCATCTTCATGAGGGCTAGCTTACAAACCAGTTGCCTGGCTTTGTTCTCAGCACAAAGATGACTGAAGACTAAACTCTCAGCAAGAGGGATTAACAGATCATTGAAATGGACTAGCCTGTTCTGCCAAACAACTGGCTAAACTTTAGCACAAATTTACAATGGAAAGCTGGGCCTTTTAGAGGTAATATAGTCCCAGACACTGCTTAGGAGGATGTCATGGCTCTGTCAGTTTCCCTTGTACTAGTACGAGGAGCTACTATTTACTGGGGATATCATAGACTACATACTTTATACCTATTATTTCATTTAAAATTTAACCTTGAAATGTGAATTTCAGATTTCATTTGAATTGATATTTGAATATTTCTTATACTACTTACTCCCCAATTTTTAAAATAAAGATTTTATATTTTTAGGACAATTTTAGATTCAGAGCAAAATTGAGCAGAAGGTACAGAGATATTCCATATACCCACTTCTCCCAGATGTGAACAATCTCCCCCATTATCAACATCCCCCACCAGAGTGGTATAGTTATTACAACTGATGAACCTACATTGGCACATTATAACTACCCAAAGTCCATTATTTACTTTAGGGTTATCTCATGGTGGTGTATATTCAATGGGTTTAGGCAAGTATATAATGACATGTATCCATCATTATAGTATCATGCAGAGTAGTTTCACTAACCTAAAAATTCTCTGTGCTCTGCCTATTTATCCTTCCTACTGGCCAAGCTCTGGCAACCATTTAACTTATTCACTCCACAGTTTGGCCTTTTCTAGAATGTCATACAGTTGGAATCATATAGTATGTTGCCTTTTCGGATTGGCTTCTTTCATTTAGTAATATGAATTTAATTTTCCTCCATGTCTTTTCATGGCTTGACAGCTCATTTCTTTTTAGCACTCAATAATAATCCATTGTCTGAATGTACTGTAGTTTGTTTATCCAATAATCTACTGAAGGGCATCTTGGTCACTTCCACGTTTTGGCAATTATGAATAAAGCTGCTATAAACATTCTTATGCAGGTTTTTTTTTTTGTGTGTGGACATACGTTTTCAACTCCTTTGGGTAAATACCAGGGAGACAATCGCTGGATCATATGATAAGGGTATGTTTAGCTTTGTAAGAAACTGTTGATGTATCTTCCAAGATAGCTGTACCATTTTGCATTCCCAGCAATGAATGAAAGTTCCTGTTGCTCCACAGCCTCACCAGCTTTTGGTGTTGCCAGTGTTCTGGATTTTGGCCATTCTAATTGGTGTGTAGTGGTATCTCATTGTTTTAATTTGTATTTCTCTGATGACATATGATGTGGAGAACATTTTCTTATGCTTATCTGCTATCTATATATATATTCTTTGTTAAGGTGTCTGTTAAGGTCTTTGGTCCATTTTTTTAATTGGGTTGTTTGTTTTCTTATTGGATTTTAAGAGTTCTTTGTATATTTTGGGTAACAATCATTTATTAGATACATTTTCTAAAAATATTTTCTCCCAGTCTGTGTCTTGTCTACTCGTTCTCTTAACATTGTTGTTCCCGGAGCAGAAGTTTTTAATTTTAGTGAAGTCCAGCTTATCAATCCTTTCATTCATGGACTGAACCTTTGGTGTTATATCTGAAAAGTCATCACCAAACCCTAGGTCATTAGATTTTCTCCTGTGTTATCTTCCAGGAGTTTTATATTTTTCTGTTTTACACTTAGGTCTGAGTTCCATTTTGAATTAATTTTTGTAAAGTGTGTAAAGTCTGTATGTATATTTATTATTTTGCAAGTGGTTGTCCAGTTGTTCGGGCACCACTTGTTAAAAGACTATCTTTGCTCCATGTATTCTCTGTGTTCATTTGTCAAAGACCAGTTGACCCACAATCAGTTGTTATTCCTATTAAGACTGACAAAACATGTATTAAGTGCCTAATTGTATATAGCATTGTCGTGAGTGCTGTCAAAGTGTCAGGCTTATGCACTATGCCATGTTCAGCACAAATAAGCTTTGAGGCCCTCCACGTACAAAGGAAAAGAAATGTCTTGCTAGCTTTGAACATCTGTCACCAAATTATTCCCAAGGCAGGATCATTGCTTGCTTACCTCTAGGCACAATTAAAAAAAATCAGAATGACTGGTGTTACCCTATTACCCACTGCATTAGTTAACAATTGCTACTGTAACAAATTACCATAAGCTAGTGGCTTAATGCAACACAAATTTACTCTCTTACAGTTCTGGACATCAGTAGTCTAAAATAAAGGTGTCAGCCCGGCTGTGTTTCTTCTCAAGGCTTCCGGGGAGAAATTGTTTCCGTGCCTTTTTCAGCTTCTAGAGGCCCCTTCAACATACCTCTCTGACCTCTTGCTTCTGTCTTCACAGCTCCTCCTCCTCTCATCCTCCTGCCTCCCTCTTATAAAGACCCTTGTGTGGTGGGAGGAGCAGCCAGGCAGCCCAGCTTCTCACAGGCTCTCATGTGTCTCAGCCCACAGGCACCCAGCCCGTGCCCTACCTGCCACCAAGATGCCCAAGAGGAAGGTCAGCTCCACTGAAGGGGCAGCGAAGGAGGAGCGCAAGTGGAAATCAGCAAAGTTGTCAGCTAAACGTGTTCCTGCAAAAGCAGAAACGTAGCTGCCAAAAGGCAACAGGAAAGGATAAATCTTCAGACAAAAAGTGTAAGCAAAAGGGAAGAGAAGAGCAAAGGGAAAACAGCAGGAAGTGGCTAACCAAGAAACTAAAGAGGAATTATCCATCTCCATATCCTTAACTTAATCGCATCGGCAAAAGCTCTTTTACCATATAAGGTAAAGTACTCACAGTTCCTGGGGATTAGGACATGAACATTCTGGGGGGAGAGCATTATTCAGCCTACCACACGCACCAAAGTTTTCCAGATATGTGATAAGCTGCAGAACATTTTACCCTAAAAAATCATTACACATGGGCCAGGGAAGCATTGCAAGAAAGGAAAATATCAGGTGGAAAAGTCACAGATGAGAATGTCATAATATTGTTTGTCTCTAGTTTCAGTGTGTGGTGTCAAGGACTTGAGGAGTTAATTTTTTCCTTACTTGCCGTTCCTTCTGGGGCTGTCACTCACTTGCTCTCAGATCCATGTTCACTCAGTGGTGGCTCTGGAGTTGGGCAGATCCAAGTATATTTGCTGCTTTATAAAGGCCAGATGCTTATTTTTATGGTCCCTGAGTCCTCCTGGCTGCCCAGCTGGGTGTCTTATGCCTGGCCCTCTCCCTTTTTATATCATCCTTGCCCTTCCTTTTCCTCCCTGTATAGCAGACATCACACAAATATCAGAGTCCCATGAAAGAAGTTAAAGGCATTGGGGACTTCCCCGGTGGCATATTGGATAAGACTCCATGTTCCTAATGCAGGGGGTCCAGGCTCGATCCCTGATCAGGAAACTAGATCCCACATGCATGCCGCAACTAAGAGTTCGCATGCCACAACTAAGGAGCCTGTGAGCCTCAACTAAGACCTGGCGCAACAAAATAAATAAAATCTTAAACAACAACAAAGTCATTAAAAAAAAAAGTTAAAGGCATTATCCCAGATCTCTCAGGCTGGCAGAAGGGAAGAAGGTAGACACCTGACTTCCACCTGACCTGTGTCCTATCATTGAATTTTAAGTTACCACCTTGAGTGATGGGGAGAACCAGCTGCAGCAGCATGAAGAGGATGGGGCTGCTTTCTTCTCAGATCATAGACCCCTCTCCCTCACTTTTAGGCCCCTTATATACTATTCCATGCCCTGGTCACTAGCTATCCAGGCCAGGTGTCATTTATTCTTGTCTCCAGCACAAGGGAACAGAAGTTAGCCCTTGGTACATAATAGCCTCTGAAATAGAAAGCTATGGATGAGGCAACCTGTAAATCCAAACTTCCCTGGGATGGGTGTGTAGCTGGTAGAGGAGATTTTCTGGTTACTCGAGTTAGACTGGTTCACACACCAAATATCCCCATGGAGAGTTCTCCTCCAGCGGCCCCTGGGAAGGGAAGCCCCCTGAAAAGTGCTGAATGCATGCCTGCCCTCTGCTCTTGGGACCCTGTTCACACCATTCAATAGTTGGAATTTAGGGAATTCCCTGATGGTCCAGTGGTTAGGGCTCAGCGCTTTCACTGCCGGGCTGGGTTCAATCCCTGGTTGGGGAACTGAGTTCCCGCAAGCCACGTGATGCAGCCAAAATAACAGCAACAATGAGAACAAACAAAACAGAACAAAAACCAAGATCATCCTTATAAAAAAAAATAGTTGGAATTTAGCCAAGATGCCAGCAGGGCCTTTGACATGTCTATACAACTATGTGAGAGAACTTTGGAGCTGGAAGAGTCAGAGCCAGATAACCTGCAGGTGCACAACCACAGGGCCCGGACTAGGATGAGGCGGGTGAGGCCTGTGGGGTACTTGCCTTGGGCACAAAATTTAAGCGGGTGCCAATCACTCCTCAAGTAATAAAAAAATAACATTTTGATGATGTTTTTTTTTTTTTTTTTTTCTTGCGTTATGCGGGCCTCTCATTGTTGTGGCCTCTGCCACTTGCGGAGCACAGGCTCCGGACGCGCAGGCTCAGCGGCCATGGCTCACGGGCCCAGCCGCTCCGCGGCATGTGGGATCTTCCCGAAACGGGGCACGAACCCGCGTCTCCTGCATCGGCAGGCGGACTCTCAAGCACTGCGCCACCAGGGAAGCCCGATGATGTATTTTTAAAAATCAAAATTAATACTAAAATCTCCAAGATGATCAAAGCATCAAAATTTTAAATAAAGATGGGATCAGCAATGATGTTGCTATACTATATTAGAGATTGAGGTCAAAGGAAAATTTGGTAACATTGATCCTGTATTTATTGAAAATTTTGATGTTTTGTTTATCATGGATATTTTTGCATTAATTCTTAGTTTTAAAAAATATTTCATTAAAATATTATTTATCTTGATTACAGAGTTGTTTTGTGCCCCTTTAAATTTTGCACCCTCACTGTCCTCACCCTGGTCCCAGCCCTGTAATATTTACAGCAGTTTGGAGGTTTTAACTCTTTTGAGCCTTGTGATTACCCTATAAGGTGGGCAAGGCAAGTATTATTATCTGCATTTGACAGTGAAGAAACAAAGTTGCAAAACAAGTGACAAGGACTGCTCAGGACTACATGGTACATGTTAGACAAGAGATTAAAATTCAGGCCTGTTGACTTTGAATCCAGGGCTTTCTCTACGACAGATATCTCAATATGCAATGTACCAAAATATCAGCTATGAAAATTGTTAAAATCCAGGTTCCTGAGTTCCCAACCACAGAGACTCTGATTCTGAAGCTCTGGAGTAGAACACAACAATCTGCATTTTTTGATACCCACACATATTGATTTTGATGTCAGTGAGCCATGAACCACTGTTTGGGCAGCTCTATCAGGACTCCAGGCAGATGCCACAGATGCCCCAGACTATGACTGCACAGTCACCACTACAAGAACTTGAAGTTCTTTTTTTTTTAATTAAAAAATTTTTTTTTTATTTTGGCTGCATTGGGCCTTTGTTGCTGCACGTGGGCTTTCTCTAGTTGTGGCAAGTGGGGGCTACTCTTCGTCACAGTGCATGGGCTTCTCATTGTGGTGGCTTCTCTTGTTGTGGAGCATGGGCTCTAGGCATGCCAGCTTCAGTAGTTGTGGTGTGCAGGCTCAGTAATTATGGCTTGTGGGCTCTAGAGTGCAGGCTCAGTAGTTGTGGTGAATGGGCTTAGTTGCTCTGTATCATGTGGGATCTTCCCGGACCAGGGAACGAACCCTTGTCCCCTGCATTGGCAGGCGGATTCTTAACCACTGTACCACCAGGAGAGTCCCAAGAACTTGAAGCTCTGATCATTAACATTTCTGCTTGTAAAAAGATACATGCAACCAAGTTGGATTCATTGCAGGGTCACAAGGATGGTTCAACATATGCAGATCAATCAATGTGAGATACCACATCAATAAAAGAAAAGACAAAAGCCACATGATCATCTCAATAGATGTAGAAAAAGCATTCAATAAAATTCACATCCATTCATGATAAAAACTCTTATGAAAGTGGGCATAGAGGGAACATATCTCAACATAATAAGAGCTATTTATGACAAACTCACAGCCAATATAATACTTAATGGTGAAAAGCTGAAAACCTTCAGCTAAAAGCCTTCAACTAAAATCTGGAACAAGACAAGGATGCCCACTCTCACTGGTTCTATTCAACATAGTATTGGAATTCCTAGCCACAGCAATCAGACAAGAAAAAGAAATAAAATGTATTCAAATTGGTAGGAAAGAGGTAAAATTGTCATTATATGCAGATGACATGATCACTGGGAACGATGGTCACTGCTGCTCTGTGGCTGATATTGGTAGCCCCTGCCCTTCCTTGTTCCTAGCTGTTTCTATTATGTCTCAAGTTTGCCAATCTCTGGGTGGTGTGAAATCAAAGCAGATCCTTCATGCCATATATCAAAAGACTGGGCAAGCTGGTTGCTCACTGTGCTCTCACTTTCCCAGGGAGGGGAATTCCTTCTTGGTGCTGAGCAGTGCTGGCCTGGGGAATGGGATAATGAAAGCAAAATGAAGCTGTCTTCCTTTTTTGTGAGGTTATTCTCAGGTTTTTTTGTTCCACTGTTTTGCTAAATTTCTTAAGTGGTCTCCTGAACTCTCCTAGAGCTGTTTTGTCTGTGGATAGCTGTCTAATTGTTGATCTTTTGAGTGATGGAGGCTGGGGTCTCCTACTCTGCCATTTTTGGCCCACATGCAATCTTAAGGAAGAGTTTGGGTGGCCTAATATCAACAACATTATAAGGATAGCTCCCCAAACTTGAAAACAGCTTGCCTTCAAACGTTGAACTTGGATGATTGTTTGGACACACCTTTACTTCGAAGCAATGCCTGGTGTTGAGGTTCTCAGATGCACTGTCTTAGTGCCACCCATGACAACATACAAATACTCTTCCCATACTTTCTAAAATATTCCTGCCTACTGCTTTTCTCCATTCCCATTTGTTGATAATCTTCCATTGCTCTGTAGCCTCCCTTACCAACAAGAGCAGCGGTTCTCAAACATTAGTGGCATCACAATCACCTGGAAAGCTTGATAAGCTACAAATTGCTGGACCTCACCCCCAGAATCTGCTAGGGCTGTGTGGGATCAGAGAATTTGCATTTCTGTTAAGTTCCCAGTTGCTGCTGCTGCTGCTTCTTTGAAAATCACCAAACTAGAATGATTGTTCTCAAACATGGAATCACCTGAGGACCTTTTATAAAAGTACTGATGCCCAAGTTCACCAATTAAGCTAGACTCTTTGGAGATGAGGGCTTGCATTAGATTCCTAGGGTTACTGTAACAAATTACCACAAACTGGGTGGTTTAAAACCACAGAAATGAATTATTTTATAGTTCTAGAGGCCAGATGTCCCAAATGAGGGGTTGGCAGGGCCATGATCCCTCAAAGGATCTAGGGAGGGAGCTTCTCCTAGCTTCTGGTCATTGCCAGCAATCCTTGGCACTTCTTGACTCGTAAATGCATCGCTCTAATCTCTGCCTTCACTTTCACGAGGGCTTCTCTCCTGTGTGTCTGAGTGTATATATGTCTGTGTGTCCTCTCCTCTTCCTATAAAGAAACCAGTGATTGCATTTAGGGCCCACCCTAATCCAGTATAACCTCATCTTAAATTGCATCTTAATTATATCTGCAAAGACCTTATTTCAAGCAAGGCCACTTTCTGAGGTTCCAGGTGGACGTGAATTTGGGGGAGGGGGAACACTGTTCAATACTGGGCCCTCATTTCAGATCCCTGAAGGCAAGGTCCATATAATATAGAACTTCCATAAAGAGTCTAGCACAGAATATGATGCCAAAAAAAATATTCCTGAATGGATGAGCCTGTGTGTCTTCTTCTTCTAATCTACAGTCATCACAGCACAACAGGTACAACACCCTCTTAATTTATCTTAAAAGCTTGTTAAAACTAACTGCAGATTCCAAGGACTTTAAAGTGTTTATCTGTATGACTAATTCAGCTCTAAATTAAAGACACTTTTCCTTAAGCAACAGAAGATATTGAAGGTATTTCTTTGTAGACAGAATGGTATGTTATTCTTCTGTGCATTTTATAGGGAACACACCTATAAAGAGCCTAGATTACACACTTCTGAAAGCTTTTAATGGTAAGACACAATGTTTGTGAACTTCCCATTATGAACTAGAAATAATATTTTCACATGAAACAAAAATGCTAAATTACCAAACTGCCTCCCTTGGGTTTTGAATTTGGTACAGTGGAGATGATTGTTTTCCAGGAATTAAGACCATGGGGGTGTCTCTTTAGAATGCCTGTGATGCAAAGCAGGAGACAAGTTACCTGTTGTCTGAATTCATCATTGGAGGCTGTTATTCACAGGGTTGGCATGGGGATTGACGAACAACCAGGCAACAAAGCTAAGCAAAATATGGTCACATGTTGGGAAAAGAGTTGTGTATTCTAAGAGCAGGTGGAAATCAGGGGGTGACAAAGTTTTGTATTGGATGAAGTGGCAACTGAGGATCACAGTCAGAGTTGTCCTAATAGCTCTGAGTTTACATTGGCTCTGTTATGTTGATATCAGTTATGGGGGCCTAATGGGGTTCTATGAACTCTACATTGTGACCCCCTTGGAGCAGCAGTGCATATACTGGGACATGTACTGACGGAGAATTGGAGCCCTGGATTCCTGTCTCAGCTCTACCATAAATAATCTCTAAAGCTCTTTGCAGTTTTAAAATATGTAGATGTGTGGGATGCAGTATAATTAATAACATATCTGAGCTTGTGTATCCTGCTTTGCATTGCTGTGTCTGCATGATACAGGTATCTTAAAAGAAGGCGATGAGGAGATTTGGTCACTTGTTTAATTTTGCAAGTATTTTTCCATTAGGGTTTTGACACCCTTTATGATAGAAAATTACATCTTGCATAAACCAGGAACGTGACAATGCTTAGAAATTTTGAGAATATCCAAGTGCTTTTTTAATGTTTATGATGTTTTAAAAAATCTTTATAGTCACACACTCAATAGTTATAATAATTTTCCATTTTCTTTTTTAACCAGTGGTAGTGATAGCTCTCCAGCAGTACATTGTCTTACATCTGCTTTGAACCATTTTCTCTGCTAGTGAACTCCACTGAGAGAGACTGAATCATCTGTCCATTTCTAAGCAGACTCAGTTTTCTGAGAACTTGGAAGTTCTACCTTAGTTCTTGTGCCTTAATACTTTGTTTAGTTTTAAAGATTCTTTAAGGTAAAAATCAAACACAATCATGATGTTTGATGTTTCTGGGATTTGGGCAGTAGACCTATGCTGCAGGGGTAGTTGCCAGTCAGAGGCGGCCTCATGTTTACTGGTGCATTTTGTGTATTTTCAGTCTTTGCTTCAGGGAGGGGGTACCCTTCCTGCACAAGCCTGGCACTTCCTTGCTCACTGATAGCCACCCTATGTCATCTTTGAAGTTATCTCTGTTTGTGGAGAAAGATGTCCATTAATCCATCCGAAGTCTAATTCTTCTGAGGGAAAAATTTCAAACTGTAGAGTGGTTTTTTAACTGAAAAGGAAAATAATATTTATGGAACACCTCCTAAATGCTGAAGAGATTTACATACATTATTTCTTTTAATCTTCATTATTGTTCCCATTTTACAGATGAGGAAAGGAGGCACACAGCTAGTTCAGTGGCAGAGTCTAAATTTGAACCCAGGCATATAGATTCTTCTTATTTCCTGGAACACTTCTTTCATTAGCTCTCAGGGTTTGCATATTCTTTCTTTAAGATATTGAGTTTTAAAAATTGTGGTAACCTATACATAACATAAATTTTACCTTTTTAACAATTTTCAATGTACAGTTCAGTGGCACTAAGTACATTCAAATCATTGTGCAACCATCACACCGTCCATCATGAAACTTTTTCATCCTCCCAAACTGAAACTCTATACCCATTAAAAAATAACTCTCCATTCCCCTCCCCAACCAGCCCCTGATAACCACTATTTCACTTTTTTAATCTATGAATTTAACTATTCCAGGTACCTAATCTAAGTGAAATCATGCAATATTTGTCCTTTTGTATCTGGCTTATTTCACATAGTATAATGTCTTCAAGATTCATTCATATTGTAGCACACATCAGAATTTCCTTCCTTTTTAAGGCTGAATAATATTCCATTGTGTGCATGTCATCTTGATCTCTTTGCCATTGATATCCTCCTATATTTAGTCTGTTATTACCATTGTTCATTTCTTCAACGTGTCCGCAGATTGGGTTCCTTTCATTAATCTGCCATTACTTCACTCTGGTCTGATCACTGTGGATTACTCCAACAGCTGCCTGATAGAGCTTCATGCTTCCAGACCATTCCCCCACCAACCCTCCAACGTCATTGTCAGAGTGGTATTCCTAAAAAACCAATTTCATTATGTCACTGCTGAAGATCCTACAGTGGCATTAAATTCGGGCTGCTTTGTCTGTTTTAAAAACAGTAAACTACCTGATTTCCTCTTATCTGTGTGACCTTATTTTGTGCTTCCTCCCTGCATTCTTCTCTGCTCCAAGGGCTCTCATCAGTGCTAGCCTCACAGCAAGTCCACTTTTACCACTCTTTTCAAATCAAACTTTCTTTTTGTTTTATATTTTATGTCAGCTGGTATAACTGTACATGCTCAATGATCATATATTTGTTTTCTATATCATGTGACTGATATGCTATTTAAAAGGGACACTATGCCATCTGAGTCACTTTTCAGTTAAGATGTTTTTAGTGTTGTCAGGAAGTACAGCTTCTGTTTTAATGGGGGGTAGGGTGGGATCAGTTAAAAAAAAAGGTGGCGCTACCTCACAGGAAATAGGAAAGTGTCTACCAGGGCCCTGTGAGTGCTTCTAAATATGTGTCGACGGCTCTGCTAGAATCTGGAACTAGATCTGTGTAATTACCTATGCATCTATTTGTTCATTTACGATTCCACTTTTACAAGGCCAAGAAGAAATATGAATAAATTAATTTGGCAATGATTAAAAAAATGTTAGCCTTACAAGGCATGCTCTTTCTCCAATCTATCCTACTGATTTTCATCCATCTAATCCCTTACAAAGCCATTTCCTATTGCACTTCAAAGCATATATGGTCTCCATTTATTTCCTATGTTTATGAGTTTTTGCCTCCCCCCCTCCCCACCGCCCAAACCACATGCTAAGTTTCTTGAATACAGTATTTTTGTCTTGTAATTTTGTGAGAATCCTATGATTTAGGGCAGATAAGTGCTTGCTGGTTTATGAAATAAGGCAATGTAACAAGAACACACACATTTCAAAATGTGGAGATAGATTTTTATCAGAGCCTTTAGGAAGAAAATGCTTTGCACCCAGGAAGAAATCTCTTACAGAAGAGATTCTGTAAGAATCTTTCCAGAATAGCAAGAGTGGGGCTATTTAAATAGTTCCTTATGCATCTTTTACATTGTGGTGTGCAAACTCAGGCCTGTGTATTTTCAGGGCAAAATGCGACCCAGGTGAGTCTGTTTCTCATTTTAAATAATTCTCAAAATATGTGATATACTCAATAAGTGTTCCCTCTTCTCCTAAGGGTCCAGATGATGTCCAAACCCTAGATACACACTGGTCCAGGATATGTGAAATATTCATACTATTACTAAGTTTAGGAGTTATTTTCAAAACGGGCTTTTAAGTCCAGTTAATAAACAAATTTTCCCCTTTAGGAGGGCTTAACAGGGACAGTTTCACACCTTATAATAGTTACATAAATGGATAATTTTACACTATGTTGGGAATGCAAATCATATTGCTGTAAGCAAATGTGACATCCAGAAGGTTAACCCAGCATCTGGTATGCCCTCCTCTTGCATTAGGACATGAGTGTTAGAATTGCAACATTAATTAATGTATGTTTCAGAACAGAATATGTCAAAGAAGGTCAGATAAACAAGAATTAGAGTAAATAAGAGGGAGATAGACATAGAGAGGTAGAGAGATGGACAGAGAGAGAGAGTGAGAGAAAAGAGAGAATACAACATTGGAAAAAAATTGCAGTGATATCTCAGGCCATAGCAATGTTGAGAAATTTTATAGATAAGTACATAAATTAAAGGCAGCCAGGATATTTTGGTTATGAATAATGAATAAATAAAATCATACAGTCAAATTAGCTCATTTCCCTCTCTTATTTATAGACATTTATTTAAATAGGTTTTTCACAAATAAATACAAAATTCAGAGCTAATATGGCTAAGTGCATCCCTACTTTCTGTTCTCTTTGTTTTCACTAACTTTAGGTGAGTTAAACAGGCATGTAGGGGCTTTATTTGCAGCAACACGGACAGACCTAGAGATTATCATACTGAGTGAAGTAAGTAAGACAGAGAAAGAGAAATTGCTTATATGCAGAATCTAAAACAAACGATACTAATGAACTTATTTACAAAACAGAAACAGACTCACAGATTTAGAGAACAAACCTATGATTACCAGGAGGTTAGGATGGGGGGAAGGGATAGTTAGGGAGTTGGTGATTGACATGTACACACTGCTATATTTAAAATGGATAACCAACAAGGACTTACTGTATAGCACAGGAAACTCTGCTCAGTATTATATAACAACATAAATGGGAAAAGAATTTGAAAAGAATAGATACATGTATATGTATAACTGAATCTCTTTGCTGTACACCTGAAACTGTCACAACATTGTTAATCAAATATACTACAATATAAAATAAAAAGTTTAATAAAAACCCTGATATTCCTCTAATTCCTGCTAAAGCAATCTGGGAGAGAGGCATATTTAAAAAGTGTTTAGAGGACTCCTGATAGTAAAGGGCTATTCTACTCAATGTTGTAATAACAAAAGCTAAAACTTAAAAATATTCAAATTGCACAAATATTTAATTAGCAATGTCACATCACTGTTGGCACCAGAAAGCCCTGAATAAACTATTGTTGTGGGTTTGCTGATAGACAGCTTGTCAGGAAATGACCAGTATTGGCAATGATTTGGAGCTAATTTCATGGATGTTTTCCAGTTTCCGTGATCTTCCTTTCCCCTTTTCCAAACAAAAGTGCTTCTGAAAATTTCTGTTTAACATCTTTCACTTTGAATAAAGAAAACACAAAACATTCCCCTTGCAGCTGGTATTGGTGAAATTACTTCTCTGGAGAGGCCAGCAGATGAGGGGTCTTGTTTGAGAAGCACCAGGCAGAAGGTTGCATTCTGTATCAGAGCCCACACTCAGACCTGCAACTTGAGATCTGTCCCTCACCCCCCCTCCTTCCTAAAGACACACACACACACACACACACACACACACACACACACACACACACACA